CACTGGGTTTCTTCTGGTTCCTTACAACTCATTGAAACCCGTCGGTCTACTCTGGGTGCCCGTGAGTTTGAACACAAACGAAGAATGTTGCGTAAGGACCAAGAAGCCTGGTGGTCGGAGCGTGCTAATGGGCTGGAAGCAGCAGCTGCATCTGGTAACTACCGGAAGCTCTTCCAACTCATCCAAGCCACTGACAACAAGAGGTCTGGTGTGAGCGAAACAATCTGTAAGGATGACGTGATGCCAATCACCAACCTCCATCGACGTCTTGGAAGATGGGCAGAATTCTTCGAAGGGCAGTTCAACTGGCCTGCTGCTCCGGTGACATCGGTCGGACTGTCCTGCTCTCCATGGCCGGTGACGACTGATCCACCAAACGAGGAGGAAGTCCGCAAGGAACTCCAACTCTTGAAGCGTTACAAATCACCTGGCCCAGATGACTTACCTCCGGCTCTTTTTAAAGATGGTGGTGACTTTTTGACTGAGGAATTGACGTTGTTTACAAAGGTTTGGGAATTAGAGAGTGTACCAACGTCATGGAATGAGTCGATAGTTGTCCCTATCCTTAAAAAGGGTTCACGTCGTCGCTGTAACAACTATCAGAGGATAAGTCTACTTCCGATTGCGTCCGAACTATTGGCTTCCGTCATACTTCGTAAGTTCTTCAAAACCCGAGAAAGATTGACTCGCGAGGAGCAGGCTGGGTTTCGTTCTGGTCGAGGATGTATTGATCATATCTTCACTCTCCGCCAAATGTTAGAACACAGTCATACTTATCAAAGGCCAACAATCGTAGTGTTTCTTGACATCAGGGCTGCCTTCGATTCGTTGGACAGGACTGTTCTCTGGGATTGTATATTGAAGAAGGGTGTGCCTGAGAAGTTTATTAACATCCTAAAAGCCCTATATACAAACACCTCAGGCAGAGTGAGGGCATACAACCACCTCTCTCCATTGTTCCATTCGAGTAGTGGGGTTAGGCAGGGTTGCTCAATCTCACCATTCCTCTTCAACTTTACCATCGATGACATTCTAGAAACAGCTCTGATGAATGTAAGTAATGGTGGTGTGGATCTGTTGCCTGGAGAAAGACTTCTCGACCTTGAGTATGCGGATGATATTGTCTTACTGTGCGACAATGCCCAAGCCATGCAATCCGCACTTAATCAGTTGGCAATTGGTGTCCGTAGTTATGGTATGTGCTTTGCACATTCGAAGTGCAAAGTACTTTTACAAGACTGGCAGGATTCTAATCCTGTATTCACCCTGGATGGCGAGCAGATAGAAGTAGTCGAGAAGTTCGTGTATCTGGGTAGCTGCATAAGTGTTGGTGGGGGTGTGAGTGATGAGATCAATGCACGCATAGTGAAAGCCAGAGCTGCTTATGCCAATCTGGGCCATCTTTGGCGCCTTCGTGATGTTAGTCTGACTGTAAAAGATCGGATTTACAACGCGTCGGTGAGAGCAGTTTTGCTCTATGCTTGTGAAACCTGGCCTCTCCGAGTTGAGGACGTCAGACGACTCTCTGTGTTCGATCATCGCTGTCTCCGAAGGATCGCTGACATACAGTGGCAACACCATGTTAGTAATGCAGAGGTTCGGCATCGTGTGTTCGAGCACAGAGATGATAATTCAATTGGTGTCACCATCTTGAAACACCGACTTCGGTGGCTTGGACATGTTCTACGAATGTCGTCCCAGAGAATTCCACGTCGTGCATTATTTGCCGACTCTGGGACTGGTTGGAAAAGGCGGAGAGGTGGTCAGTGCATGACATGGTGTCGTGGTATGAAAGAAAGCTGCAAAGGACTGACTTCTGTCGGTCCTTCACGACTCCCTGGTTGGGGTCCGAGAGATAGTGCTACACAGTGGCTAGAGACGTTATCATATATGGCTCAGAATAGAAGCCAGTGGCGATCTTGCTGTAACCTTCTTTTACTTTCTTCATAAAAAGTGGTTGTGTCTCCCTTACTTGAAAGATTTCTTCTGATTGTACCTTTCCATTCCCTCGTTACTACCTTACACCAATCTCTTCGTTATCGTTCTCTTTTTTCTTTGTGCTCCTTAGTTGTGTTTTTTTTTATCCCTCTTCGAATTTTCATTGTTTTGTGTGGCGCATATATATTGGCGCTCCCTTGTACCAATATTTATGTGTTCAAATAATAATAATATATAAGGACACAGGAAGAAAGAATTAGTTCGTAGAAATACATAAACCAATTTTAATCTCACAGTTTAAGGGAAGATGAGTGTATACACCTACATCATTGTGATCGATTCTGAGCGATGTCACACAGTCTCCAACTATTGGTTACGATAGTCGCGCGGACCCCAACCAAGTAGTCTGCACCTACCAACATGCCACAGACCAGAAGTCAGTGACTCCAAGGAGTGATGCCTCGTTTTGGTGTGGCTGTCACTAACTTTTTTCCAACCAACCCCAACACTAGTCAGCATCGCGTGTCGTGGTAATTGGTATTCAGCTATACGTAACATATGGCCCAACCATCTCGGTCGATGAAGATTTACAACCTCATCAACTGATTTACCATCATTCCCTATTACTCTGCGTCTAACCTCACTATTAATTACCCGGTGATACCAGTTGTTATATCCCTGTGAGAATGATTGGTAACTGTTGGAATCTATTTCTGAACTAATACTATACATATCTTTTCATTGTATAATTGCTAAGTAACTAAACTATTAATATTCGTGTCCCTCTTATTATAAGCTTTATTCTGACCGAATTATTATTGTACGATTTACCATTCTTGAGTTATGCCCAGTTTATCAATTACTATCTCCCACATTCACAGCCACATTTGACTTGTACAAATGTTGTTTCCTATTTTATGGTACGATGTGGTCTGTCTGGTTGGTATATAAACTCAGTATGTTTGAAATACATAACTGGTATCGCGGAGGCTGAAGTTGGTGTTCTGGACTTAAAAGGCAGGAAGAAGCATCGATAAACACTCTAGACTATTCGTACGGGTTCTATGCGTCATTGGTTCGGCCAATAAAGCACTGTTTTCTAATAGGTGGCATCATTACGTTATATATTAATGAGGCACAAGTTATAACACCAGAAGATACGAGCAATATCTATAAGACATCTGTGATCAAGCACTAGTAACTTACGAGTATCTTCTACTTTCAATTGCCACGTTTCGCAGTCATAAAATAGAACAGAACGAACTGCCGTGCAGTATACTCATTCCTTAATTTATAGGCAGATCTCGCTTTTTGAATCCGTGCAGAGATGTTGTCAGACACCAACCCATTAGGGCTGATCAGACTTCCAAGATAAGTGAAGTTGTCAACGCGTTCGAATACTTCACTCCCTATCCTTAGTTCAGGTGTTGACGCAGACTAGTCCTGAAGCAACAACTTGTATTGGGAAGGGGGAAGAACGCATCCCATACATCTTGGCATTGATGCCCACTGCTACCAAAAGACTGCATTTTATCAGCGCCCCCACCAAACAGGACTGTCATCTGCGTATTCTAGGTCGACAAGTGGACCTGATGGGAAAAGATCGATTCCTGAAAATTCAGTGGACGAGAACGTTATTTCTAGTAGTAGATCTATGGTGAAATTAAACAGAAACGGAGATAGTGGACAGCCTTGTCAGACACCACTTGTTGTGAAATCAGATGACAATTCACCATAAACTCTGATTTGACTGGTAATGTTCCAGTAAAGAGCCTTCACAATATTTATGTACTTCTGAGGTACACCTTTCAATGACAGACTATGCCACAGAAACTCTCGGTCTACACAGTCAAGTGCTGCTTTTAAGTCAAGAAAAACTATCATTGTTGGACGCCGATAAGCATGCTTGTGTTCTAAATGGTGAATGGTGAATATGTGGTCGATGCAGCCACGACCAAATCTGAAGCCAACAACACATAATCACAGTTTATTTACATTATTGGAACAGTCTTATTTTGTCAACACTTACATTAACAAACGCTATATATATATATGAACACTCAGAATTAAACGGCTGTGTTATGAATGAAATTATGTATTAAAATATAAATTCACATACATTTAGGTGAAAGAACTGCTTTGTTAACATGTACACAATAGATAGATGCTTAGCTATGTTAAAAGTTTCCAGTCAAAATGTTGACGACTGAAAAGTCAACTGGTACATACCCCACACTAAGCATTTTTTGTCTACTATTAGCATGGAAACTTCTGACATTACGTTGAAGGTTTTTTCCAGTTTGTAAAACACCGTTAAGGGAATATCGACTTTAACGTGAAAGACACACTAACAAGCCTGTTTCTGCGAAAGTCGTATATTTTTTCTATTGTAGTTTCTCCCTAGACAGTGGGGTGTTGCTTGCTTACCCTTGGTGTATAGGAATGTATGGGGAAATATTAGTAGACACCCAGTTCTGAACTAATACCGATGCTTAAACTAACAGAACAGGAGGAATTCTTGAATTTCCACACGCATTTACCCAGGATTTCCATAAAACTTGGTGAAACTTTCACAAAATTTTCCCATAGTAAGGTAATCGGATGTTTATCAATTAGCAATATTGCGAGATAAAGCACAAATGAGAATCGGGAAACTATAAACAAACATAAAGCATGAAGTCAATAATAAGTGCATGTACTTGAAGAGGAAGGAATAAAATAAATTTGAACTACGCCCAGTCACACCCGGGCAACTCTTCAGGGGTATCGCTGACTGATGTAGGTTGCGAGCACTTGAAGGTCAAGCTGTCGCAAGATGATTGTTGCGTCACATCAACAATTCATGCGGTTTTTCAGAAGCGGTCAAATCAAGGCATCTTTAGATTTGAATTGAGTTCAGCCACACCATGTCTGATAACGTCCATGCTTCAAGTAACGAAGATGATGCCATCGTGATGTTGCAGGCAACGCTCCTAGGGTATCGTCCACTGTGGGGGTTGCAAGCACCTGAAGGTCAAACTGTCGCAAAATGATTGGTGCGTCACATCGACAATTCAGAAGCGGTCAAATCAAGACATTTTCAGATATGAATTGAGTTCAGCCACACTATGTCTGATAACGTTCATGCTTCAAGTAACGAAGACGATTCCATCGTGATGATGCATGATATAGAACGAATCTTCAGTGATATTATGTTATCTCGAAGATTTACAGGTTGGGAAAATTTCGAGACCTGTTTGGAAGAAGTACATAAGGTAATATTACTTCTGTGGTTAATAATTATTTTTTTAGTATACGCATACAAAGTATGTTATGTCAGTATGCAAAAAGAACAGTGATGATCCAACTCTAAAGTACTTTTTCGGGAGATGTGTCTGTACATATGGACGTAAACGCAGTTCGTCAGAGTCAGATGCTTGCATTCAGGATGTAGATGATGATAGTAATCATCATTCTTCTGAAGAGCGTACAGCATCTCAATCGCCAACACAACCTAGACAAAGGAGAGGCTGCAATTAAACGCAACTCAATTTCGTAAATGTGCTTTTCAGCTTAGCAATCAATCAGAATGTGGCGGGAATTATTATATCAGCCATCTTTGTATATAATCTAGTTATTTAATTAAAAATACATTATGAAATGACAAAATCTGTGGTTACTTGAACGCACAGATGACCGATACATTAAGTTTACATGGTTGCGTTGCGGATAAGACCACCCCAAAGGAGGAGACGTCGGTCATCTACGTATGCCTTACTTCAAAAGAATTTATCCTTCAGGTCGAAATATTGCCATTGTCAATCTAGATTTTGGGTCCGGGCAGTAAATGGTGAGCTGAAAGTCGCCTCTATTAAGACCGTGCACAACCATCCATGCACAGAAGGATATATTTCTCTCTGTCCATCGAGACGACAGTTGACGTCAGGTGAACGCTTGTACTTAAGAACGTTTCTATTGAGTAATACACCATATAATACAGCATATGGTTTCTTGGAAGTTCAATAAACAGTTTACCAAGGACGATACCGCCAAATTGCGTTCACAGTTATACTCAGGTTGTTGAACTCACATTGTAATTAATCGAGTTTAGACATTAAAAATATCAATGACATCTCACAGCATGTTCAAGCGAACACTGAAGTAAAAGTATTCAATGAAAGTGGGAACATATCTATGATTTGCTTCAGCAGCAGGGAGCAAATGGCTGTTTACCATGCGTTCCCGGAGGTAATTTGTATTGATTCGTCTTATCAAATCAAAAAAGTTAAGTAAGTAACGGTTAGTAATAAATTTATCTGAAAGTGAAAATCAGCCCAAATTGTGATAAAGAAGGGAGAAGCAATAAATCTTACTATGGTATCGTTACTTGTAACGCAGCCTTGACGACAATACAATTTTTATGACGATATATGCTTGGATCATGCTATTTCATATAAAAATAAATTATTTGTCTACCATCAGTGTATACTTAGGTAGAAATAATTGCCAGTCTGCGTTGCAAATACGAAGAAACTGTTATGGCAGCACCTGACTAATGAATTTTAATGGACTTCGCGATACAATGTACCGCAAAATGGAAAAACCTCTTTTCACCTTAACGTGAAAACGGAAAATGCACTTTCAAATTGATTTATAATTAATTCCGAATTTTGGTTGTGCGAAAAGCATAAATGAAAAAGTAGCACAGAAAAGTATCGCGATACCCCTTGTAGCGCTGCCTCACACATCTAAAGCGCAAAACTTCATAGGTATCGCCCTCTGTGGAGGTCGCTGAACACCTAAAGGTCAAACACCAAGACTGATAACGTCTATTTTTCAAGCAACGAAAGTGGTGCTATCGTAGTGATGCATGATATAGGGTGAATCGATGTGACTAAAATTTATGGACGACCTTAAAAGGAATCGCAAGTGACGTTGATAAATATTAGTCAATCAGCAAACAGTAAGTATAAAGTAAAAATATACTATACAAAACCAAGGAAATAAAATGGATACACTTCCTATACGTGGTTCAAAAACTTGTTAAGGTTAGAAAGAGGTTCAGAGGTTCTAAAATCGTAATGCATGCAGTAGAGGAAATCATCCATATGGCTACAGAATAGTTGGCCTCTGCAGCCATGATAAAGTCTCATAAACTCTTTCAGCCTCGACCACATAGCTTCAATATAGTTTATGTGCACTCCGATTGTTGGGTATACAATATGTCACTTGTGGATAACGACACAATGCACATAACCAGGCCTATGTAGGAGTCTGTACGCTCTCCAAACATCCGTATATGATGTAGTACCTGGCTGCAGCCAATGTTGCTGGTGCTTTTATTATCCAGTTCTCGAACTGACATCAGGTATAATGACAGAAATCTGTTTAACCAAATGGGTGAAAGGCTTCCGCGCCAAAACCCGAGATCTATTATCTTATACGTGGTTGATTCGTTCACAAATTATAGTCTAGCTGTTCTATTTGTTGTAGCTACTCAATTATCACGTTTTGTACGAAATTCCCTGTGAACTGATCAAACGTTAGTATTGTAGCACGTACTATTAGCGTTTACTTGCAATCAGGAGTGATCTGAAACACAAAAGCCAGGACCGGTAAATGCCACTGAATTAAGAACACAACGTACTGACACAACAGAAATATATTTAAACTTGAAAGACGCGGTTCGAGTACAAAAAGAGAGGCTTATTACAAAATGGTTTTATTATTGTTCTGCAGGTTTAGCTCGCGTAAGGCTAGTTCCTCTTCTTCTAGCACGTTTACTCTTTGTTGCCCTGTAATGAGGAAAACAAACTCACATTAGTAATTTCACATGTGATTATTTTTAACACCGTTACACTACCCCTCTCTCCATGAGGCACTGTCCTCAGTGCCTGGTGCTGGACATGGGTAAGATACCCCTCCTTCTGGTGGCACTTCATAATGGCTGACTGCAGTCGAGAGGTTGGCAAACGAGGTATCAATGTGCACCGCTATTTTGTCTACCTTTAATTGGTTGTAGTGTGCTGTTATAACATCGGTTTGGGGCCATTGGAGGTTACGTAGGACGAATGCAGTAGGAGACCGAATAAACACAACTTTATAAGGTCCCTGCCAAGGTTGATGGGGACTTGCTTCATGTCCCTGGTGACCATGAGGCGGTGCAGCCAAACACGATTTCCATGTTTATACACGGGCCCGTTCACCTTGCGGGGGTACACATCCTTTTGGTGTTTGCTAGCATTTTGTAGGTTGATCTTAACTAGGCGATATGCCTCGGCTAGACGGCTGAAAAGATTACGGGCGTATAATACATGATCCTGAGCCTCGCATGTTAACAACAGTATTTGTAGCTCAACAGGTAGGCGCAATTTATGTTCAAAAAGTAAGGTCGCGGGTGAAAATCCCGTGCATCCGTGCGCTGGTGCGCGGCAAGCTAAGAGACAGTCGGGTATCACATCATCCCAACATTCCGTCGACGGCTTACTGATGAACGATTATAGGAAGATTTTGGTGGTCCTGTTTGTCCTTTCCACTAAGCCGTTATCTTCCGGATGGTATGTGGTAGTGTGCGTTTTGCGGATTCCCAATAATCGGCATACCTGAGCGACGGGATGGTTGTCGAAAGCTGCACCTTGGTCAGAATGGAGCGAGAGTGGAGCGCCCTACCGGGATACCCAATGATCAATAAAAGCACAAGCTACTGTGGGGCATTTTGTTGTGGTATAGGAACGGCTTCACACCATTTGCTAGAATAATCTACCATCACCAGTATATGGCGGTTTCCGTTCTTTGACGTTGTGAGTGGCCCCATAATATCGGTACCAAATCGCTGATGTGGACCTTCGGTCGTCATTGGAACTAAGGGTGCACGGGGTAATTGTCGGGATGACTTCATGGGATAGCACGTGCTACAACTTTTGCAGAATTCTGCTACGTCTTCATGGATGGATAGCCACCAAAACCTCTGGCAGATCGCATGTCCAGTCTTCCGTTTTACCAAGTGCCCAAGTTCTCGGTGCACCTGCTCTGCACCTCCTGAACTTGTACATGTGGTACTATCAACACTGACTACAAATAACGTGTTTCCATGCAATCTCAAACTGCTCCACTTGGCACAAAGACGGAGCGTCGCCAAGGAATGATCCTTCAACTCTGCCAAAGATGGTTTATTGTTTCCATGTAGTCGCCTTTAGTAAATGAATCGCAAATCAGGGTCTGCTGCTTGACGAGACGGCCAGTCGATCTCATAGGAAGTGCTAAGTACAGCGCTAATGGTACTATGAGAATAAGGTATACGAGACAAAGAATAGGCGTTTGTGTGTTGGCTTCCGGGTCGGTGTTCGCAAAAAAATCGAGCTGCTACAGCCCCTCTCGCCATGCTTGGTAGCCATCACAAATAAATTATGTGATGCAAGTGAGTGACGTGCTCTGTTTTTCATGTTCATTATAACTAATTACCACGTTAGTTCTTTACGATGAGTTCAATTAAAGTCACGGAGAGAGCTCGTAAACGTGGGGCAACCTTTAGTTTGTGAAGTGTCGTAGATCGACTTATAACAGACGGTGGAATAAAATGCGAACAGCTTTCATGAAAAAACATAACTTGCTTTCGTTTAGTCAGTTTGCTACTGAAAGTGCGATCAAAGGTAACTGATTTTGACAGTGGTGTATGTTAAATTGATATCAGTCAAAAGAGAAATTAATTATAATGAGAATCCTTCAACTGTAACGCTATCCACTACCTACAGAAACGAAAGGCTTCTAGATAATAATGGCATGTATATGAAGTGAATAGGTTAATATATTTCTTATAGCATGTAACGACGTTAGTTTGTGCTCTCAGAATTCCTTAAATCGTAAAGAGCAAACCAACAATATATTGATGAATTTAATCACAACAACCTTTCTGAGCATCAGAGATACTGATAGGATTCTAAATGATTTCCGAGTTCTTGTTCCGGACTTACCGAGCAGCATCAGAAGTGTCCTGACGACATGAACAAGTGTCCAACCAAAATTCATCAGCAGTGGGCTATACTGTCATCTCGGATTGGATACCAATCTCCTAAGATATGTTGAACTTTGGTTGTGTACTTTTGATTTTGATACTTTGATTTGTATATTAATATAAATGGACTTTCTATTTCAAGGAGCTCTAATCGACATTTATGGCTTATATTAGGACGGATGGTTGCCCCAAGGTTTAGTGACGTGTTCATGATAGGGATCTATGGAGGGAATACTAAACCGCTAATACAATGTAACGCGATTCCTCGAAAAATTTTTCTTGACTGTCCAAGTTTTCAAATCAACCAACTGTAAGATAATTTTCACTTGGTGCTAACTGATTGTGGACGGAACAGGATAATCTTCAGGTAATTAAGCTTTACGTTCGGAAGTAGTGCATCATCAATACTTATAGGTAGGAACCAAAGTATGAAATGAAAGAAATTTTAGCAAAGTGGTTCTAATGACTAGAACAAACATAAGCTTTCGCTTGATGGGCCTTCATATTTGATGACAGTCCATCACTGACGCCTCCAGTAAGGAATAATATATATTTAACAAATGTAAGAGAATTTTTAGTAAATTAGAATCAAATATTCCCCTAT